TTTTTTTTTTTGCTTTTTTTCTCTCTACTTATCTGCTACTTCTGTTTAAACTTCGAGACAAATTGGTTGTTGTTTTGTGTTGTTTGTTGCTGTTTTTTTTTTTTTTTGTTGAATAATAAGTGTATTCTTCAGTTTTTTTTTTCACTGATTTTATTTTGATTTTTTGCAAGTTATTTTTCAGTAGTTGAAGAGTACCGAAGAATAGAAAACAGAAGAAAAAAAAGGAAAAGAAAGAAAGAAGAAGACCAGAAGAAAACAACTGTACAAAAAAAAAAATAGCGAAACAAAATTGTATCTCTCCATAACAGACGTACTTTAATGTCATTATCGTTTGAGAGTTGTTCTGAGATGACGCGTATTCATAACTGTCCAAAAGAATCTGGTAAATCCAAGTTCAGTGTTGAAAGTATCTTGTCGACAACAGCAAATGACAGGTAAGATCAAAGAAATGCTGTGTGCTTCAATTGTAATATTTGTTGTTCAGGAGGTGTAAAATTTTTTTTTTTAACGTGTGAAAACCTAAATTTTTCGGTATAACTTTGTTGATTTAGGTTTAAAAACGAAAGAAAAAAAAAAAGAGAGATTAACCAAATCAGTTGAAGATAAAGGTGTTAATCGGTTCACAGATTTGTGTTTAATTGAATTAGACATCGTTGAGAATTTGAAAAACGTTTTTGGTAATTTGATGACTGACAAAAAATAAAAATCAAAAATAATAACTGTATGTGCGAAAAAAAAATAAATAAATGAAGTCTTCATTAGTTTTAGTCAACCTTCTGAAGAGCCGTTGAAACCAACTGCTGTCCAGCAGATCAGATTACCGCAGGTGATTAGCACTGCAGCAACGGCGACACCAACAATATCACAGGTTCCAACAAAATTTGCCACTACTGTTCACCCAACAGCAATGTTTCTGTTTGCTTCACAACTGCATCCAGAAGCAACATTTTCTGAAGCATCTGCTGAATCCCCACCTCGTTCGTTAGTACCGCATTACAATTGGCTAGCCAGTTCTTCGGATGTTTCTTCAACATCATGTACGTAATTTTGTTTTCATTTAAAGATGACAAATAAGACATTTGAATGGAAATATTGTTTGTAGTTTTTTTTTTTTTTGTCTTTTCTTTAATCTTAAATTTTCACACTAGCTTAAACCGTTGATAGTTTAATCTTGTATATAGAAGAAGAAAAAGAAGAAAAAAGAATAAAAGAGAGATTAGAATGCAATTAAAGTTTTCCCCTTTCACATAAATTCTACCGTAATTTTTTTTTTTTTTTTTTGGCTTTCTCACTTACGCTAAACAATAGATTTTGGTGAAACCAAAAAACTATCTGTTTCGCCTATCTAGCAAAAAAAAAAAAAAAAAAAAAAAAAAAAAAAAA